TTTTTAACTTGAGTAATACAAATAATCAGATGAAGGACTGTGAACTCTCATTGATGATTAAGAATTAGTTTAAATCTGAAGTTCTGAACTTAAGTACAGAAAAAATGAGATCCAAATGCAGGGCCATTGTTACTCATTTCTTATATTTAAAGCACAGGTTGCTTAATCTTGAAGATTAAATTTCTGAAGAACTTTGCTTTTTCACCATCCTATTTTGCTTTATTAATGACATTATCCTAATGGCTGTCAAGTGTGGTTCAAAAACCCAATGGGAAAACTATGGAAGAGATTTGTGGGTTTGTGAGTCTAGAGTCACATTTTGTTCAAGCTGAAACCTTAAATTTGAAATGCTGACTTATGATGTAAGGATAAACATACTTTCTTAAGCAGCAGTTGCAAAAACAAATCGATTCTGCTGTTCAGTCCTTTAAACACTCAGCAAATTACCCAGAGTTGCACAGGTGGAAATTCTTATTGTAATATAGCTTCTCTATTCTTTCCTTTTTAACTTGTCATATGAAAATCAGAATAAGATACACATATACAAGATGCTACCTCTAAATCTCTCAGCACAGTATTATGATCATCAATTACTTTTTATTGAAGGCTCATATGAGTTATATATCATACACTTGGTGAACAAATATGTACTTTCAATTTACCTCTGGGGAGAGGTAGGAAAAAATCCTAGAGCACAGAAGTCATCCGATACATCTACAATGGATGTGTAACGTGGACCTCACAGCAGCCTATGGCTATGGCCTAACTCACTTTTCTATAATGAAAGGGCAGGAATATAGCCAAATCTTCTCTTTCTGATATAAACAAGCTGACGAGGATTTTGTGGCTGCCTCCATAGAGTATAGCATCAATATTGTATTGATTTGCATTTTCTTTCATTTGAATATGTACCTTCAACACCATTGACCTTTACTTCCAAAAGGAATATAAAACATTTTTATGGGGTTCTGATAAGTATGGTTTTGTAGACAGGCCTCTTATAAATCTTTAAGTCAATGCATTTGATAATTCTAAATTAAGTGTGATTTCAGGTGAAACTAAACCATCTTTAAGATAGTGCTGGACAATAAATATTTGCTGAATGAATAAATGGAAGGATGAATGACTTTATTCATCATGTGTTCCTATATTATTTCTGCTCACCTAGCTTCCTTTGGATTGTAATTTGATGTCTCTATTGATCTGCCTTTAGGGAGAGAATGACACCTGTGGTGGTGACACAGCTATACTGGCACGATTATATTCCTCATAGGAATCTAGCTGGTATTACAGTTTTATATAAATATACCACTAGGCTGTGAATGCTTCACTGTAGAGCCTAGCATAGTGCCTGAAACTTAGTAGACACCTTAGATATATATGTCCAATGACTGTCCCTGCTTCACTCTAGGTCATTATTCCATTTAGTCAGTGTACCAAAGCACACACTCTCACTTTTAAGAAACTGGATAAATATCCCCAAAATAATAAGTCAAATAAAATATAAAATGTAGTGGATGGCTTATCAAATGGGAGATGAAGCAGATGGGGGTATGGTTATCCTGCCCTCTTTTTTCTTTCTAAATATATGTATTCCATTATACACACTCGGATGAAGCTATTTCAAGTGCAGATGTGGGGTGTTGGCTCAGAATAAATTACATGGCATAAAGCTATCCCTAATAATTTTTCACAGGTGAAAATAGGTTAAAATGAACAACAGGGACAAACTTTAAGGAAGAAGCCAGGGGAAAAATGGCACGAAATTCACCCATGTAAATTTTGAGAGGCATGGAGGGGAAGATGTCCACTGTTACCAGATAGCCCTTGCCATATGTCTAATGGGGAAGGGAGGATGGTAGGACATGCAGATAAGTTGTTTCAGACTTTTGTAGTACAAACCAGCTGGATTTACCTCTTTTTTTTTCTCACACAAAGAACTCCCTCAGGCTTGGATCCACATGCACCTGGTTGTTGCAGCAGCACGGCCCAGTAATGCCAGAAATCTGAATCAACCATACTTATTTGCCTATCTGAAAGAGGCTTGGTCTTGGGTGATTATTAAAATACCCTAGAATGTTTTACATACAGCCACGGCAGTTCAGATACTGCTGTGTCCATTGTACCCGCTAATGATGTAGAGCGGTGGGGAGCCACCTGATACCTGTTCCAGCAGGTGGGGATTGGAATAGAGTCCCCAACCCTTCTCCCTCTTGTCAGGACCTGAAAAGATGCTCTAGAAAACAAAAGGAGAGTAGTAGCAGGAAGTATCAGGTAAAACAAGACTTTTTAAAGCAGAAAAGAAAGTTGAAAAGAGCAACTTCATCAACTTGATATGGCTAAGGAATAAAAAAAAAAAAATGCAGTCATGTGAAATTAGGTATTATGTTTTCAAATATCTTTTATGGACTCAGCCTGGGACCCACTACATGAGTCTGCTCTTCTAGCCCCAGCGCACTTCTAAATGGTAAAAGCAATGTCAACTCCCAGAAATGGTGATTGATATCACCACTCTTGGTCTAGACCAAGATAATGAGGTCAGGAGAGAATCTAAGACTCCCTTCTCCGGATAACTAGATTATGCTGAGAATCAACATTTCCTTCAGTAAAAATCATGCTATCTAAAAGAGTGTGGCCTTACCCAATGAACCACAAGAGATAAATCCTCTCAAAATAACCAAATAACCACAACACTTAAACAATAGAAATATTCATTTAATATAAGGCAGGGAGTATTTTTTAATAATATTCATTAATGGGAATTGTATAGTCTTTAAGAGTTAAAATTTGGTCAAAATAATCTAACTGGCTAGCTATATAGTTAGGATATGTTCCATTAAAAAACATAAAGGAATAGAGATATGTTAGATGTTATGATATTCCTTATTTTTAATTCCCTTTACAATATTTTTCACACTGTACTATAATGTATCTGTTTACTTGTCTGTGGGAGCTGGGCCTAGAAGAAAGGATGGATGGATGGAAAGAACGTAAGCAGGGTGAATGAAGGGTCAGGTGAAAACGCCTGCCCGAAACTGCTTGTTTGCTGTGTGCAATGGAAGTTGTTAAAGAAATTAGCAAACAGCCCTAACCTTTTGCACATGTCCTTGGAAATACTGAGAGGAAGTTAGCTGAAGAGACCATTTTCTCCTTCAGACTTTGGTCTCTCCCCTTTTCTGGAAACACTATGTGTTTCAAGTAATTATTCATTCCTTTGCTACCAAGCTCAGGAGTGAAAAGCAGCCACAACACTTGTCTGTATCCCTCCACTAGGCTGTAAGTTCCTTGAAGAAGGAACTTAGTCTCTCGCATTCTCTTTTTGTATTAGAAGTTAGCGTAGAGGTGCCTGGCACGTAGGTGGCTATGAAAACACTGTAGAATGAATGCTTTCATAGGCAGTAAATAGATCAAAGCTCATACCCAATATCACATTTTGGATATTGTCAATAGAAATGTTGGAAGATAAATCAGAAAGTAGGTACTCAGAAAGCATTACAGAAAAGAGGGTTCTGATCTTAGATGCTTTGAGTCAGGACTGCAAGTATACAATTGGACAGGTTGTTCACTGCACAAGATTATCCAGCCAAGGGTACAACACTGGGGCAGAAAATCCAGCCCATGCTCCACTTGCCAAGCCACGAAGCCCAAAACCACTCTGCATCTGCCTATAGGAAGCAATACCTTTTTTCAAATTTCTACAAAGGTGCTGTAAAAACTTGAGATGGTCCTAATTTAAATAATGATTTAGAGTAATCTCTGACAGGTTAGATCCCAGGAGCAAGAAAAATTACCCTACCAATCTGATTCCACCACAAAGGGAGTAAAAGAACGAAGATTATTCTTAAATTGAGAACACTGAAGTTGTAGATTGTTTTTCTCTGGATTCTCAACATTGGGGGATGAACTTATAAAATAAAAACTTTTTTTTTTAAACCACATAAGGGAGCATCAGTATTCAACTCGATCACAGAAAGTAAGTTATAGAATCAGCAATGCATAAAAACTGGAGGAAAACTTAAAGGTCACAGAATTCCATTGCTAGAAGGAACTTTAGAGATCATCTGGTCCAATAATATTAACTTTACAAAAGAGGAAACCAAAAAGACCAGGGAGATTTGCCCATGGTTATTAAAGCTAAATCCAGAATCTAGTTTGTTTTCTGGCTTTCAATCTAATAATCATCTTTCTACCACGGCTGGATGGCTGATTTGCCATCATTATAATCCACAAACATTGATTGTGCAGGAGAAGCTGATATATGGACTTGGTTTACATCAAGGGCCTTACAATGAAGTTGAGAAAACAGGAAGTCCAAGTATGGAAAGACAAGCAACAATATGCGATGGCTTATGAAGGGAGGTTTAGACTCGAGTTTCCGAGTGGGAGTAGTGACGCCAAGGTGAGTGTATTTTGGGCGGAGTGTCCTCATGTGGGCGACAACTCTGGAGGGCCCAGAACCAGATGGCAGAACGCGGGAGGGCTTAAGGCTCAAAAAAGCAATGTCAGGAGAATCCAACTTCCAGGGGCCCTCTCGACGTGTAGTTTAAGCTTCTGGGCTCATGACTCAAAATTGTAAGGATGAATGGAGTAAAGCCTCTCCACAGCCGGGCTCTGGAACCCAGAAGGGCCGGGGGCTGAGGCAGCCGTGCAGGAACACCGAAAGGACGGCGGAAAGGGGTTGAGGGGCCCAAGAGTAGAGGGCGCCCTGAGTCGACCCAGCTCTGGCTTCCGGGGCGGTGCGCACTGCCGGAGGGGCGGGGCCGGGCCCAGGCACCGCCTACGCCGGGATGCGTGACAATGGGGCGGGCCGCGAACCGCGGCTGCTGGCCTCTTGTGGGTGGTGGAGTTGCAGTCACTGACGCCGCCGCCGCCGCATCACCTGTCCGGATTTGAAAGATTAAAAACTCCGGGTGGAGAGAGCGGCGGCGTTGAATGTGTGGCAGAAGCGCTGGGGGTCACGGCTCGGCGCGCGGCCGGGCAGCCGGCGGCGTCTCTACACCATGAATTACCCGGGCCGCGGGTCCCCGCGGAGCCCGGAACATAACGGCCGAGGCGGCGGCGCCTGGGAGCTGGGCTCGGATGCAGGTCCGGCGTTCGGCGGCAGCCTCTGCTGCTTCGAGCACCTGCCCGGCGGGGACCCGGGCGACGGCGACGTGCCCCTGGCCCTCCTGCGCGGGGAGCCGGGGCTGCACTTGGCGCCGGGCGCCGAGGACCACAACCACCACCTGGCGCTGGACTCTTGCCTCAGTGACGAGAACTATGACTTCAGCTCGGCGGAGTCGGGCTCCTCGCTGCGCTACTACAGCGAGGGCGAGAGCGGCGGCGGCGGCAGCTCCTTGTCGCTGCACCCTCCGCAGCAGCCGCCGCTGGTCGCGACGAACTCCGGGGGTGGCGGGGCGGCGGGAGCGGGGACAGGGGAGAGGAAGCGCACCCGGCCGGGCGGCCCGGCCGCCCGGCACCGCTACGAGGTAGTGACGGAGCTGGGTCCAGAGGAAGTGCGCTGGTTCTACAAGGAGGACAAGAAGACCTGGAAGCCCTTCATCGGCTACGATTCGCTCCGCATCGAGCTAGCCTTCCGGACCCTGCTGCAGGCCACAGGGGCCCGGCCCCAGGCCGAGGACCGGGACGGCGACCATGTGTGCCGCACGGCCTCTCCCGCGGGTCCGGCCTCCAGTTCCGGGGAGGACGACGACGAGGACCGCGCCTGCGGCTTCTGCCCGCGCATGGCGGGGCACGATCCCGAGATGGTAGAGCTGGTGAATATCGAGCCAGTGTGCGTGCGGGGCGGCCTCTACGAGGTGGATGTGACCCAAGGAGAATGCTACCCAGTGTACTGGAACCGTGAGTAGCAGGCCCGGGTTTGGGCGGGACGGGCTGCGCCTGCGGGAGCTGACATGTAGCGGGTTTGGGACCTAGCCTCCGCGGAGAGGGAGGCGCTGAGGCCTGGCTTTTGGTGGGGCAGGGTGGAGATTGTGCAGGGAACGCCGGCAGGTGAAGGGTAAATGAGCAGATGGCAAAACCCGAGCTGCTCGGGGTCAGGAGGAGTGGATGCCGCTGGGGGTAGCGCCTCCTGGGTGAGCCGGTGCTGCTGCTATCCCCTGGAGCTGATCCAGGAACGGATCCTCAGCCTGAAAGGTTTAATTTCGTGATCCTACCAAGCCTTGTCCACCTGGGGATCTGATTCGGTCTCATTTACCTTGAACTGCCTATGATTTAAATAGCAGCACGTCCCCTGGAGTGGTAAGGTTTGAGAGGATCTGCTCGAGAATCAACAGTTCAGTTATGGACTCAGGAAAAGAAAATTAATACCTGGCGGGAAGAGAAAGGAGATAGGTTACTCCCACTGGGTGTGTTCGAGAGAGGTGGAAAGCACTGCATGAAGCAGTTCTGGCAAGTGGATCTGTTCACACTCTATGGAATACTCGATTTTTTTGTCTTTTAGGTCCTTATTTACATATTTTTGTTTTTGCCTCTTAACCTTGAAAAATTACCAGCCCTACTCCTCGTCTTCCACATCTTTAAATGGGGATAATTGTACTTCTCCCTCATAGGGTTGTTGTGGAAAGTAAATGAGAAAATATACCTAAAGGACTTGGAACTATGTGTGCTTCGGCACTTAATGGTGATATGAGTGTTAATAGTTATTAGACAACAACACACAATTAGGTTTATAATTAAATTAGAGTAAGGAAGAGGGCAATCAGAAATATCTCCCATTGCTTGCAGCAAATATTGCATATGTAATATATAGTAGACATTCAATAGTAGCAGAAGCTATTGGCCACCGGTAATGTGATATCAATTTAATTTTCATGGGCCCAATGCCCTAACTCAAATGTCTTCACTGATTGTCACTCCCCCTAGATTCTCTATACATCTTATAGCATTCTGCCTTGTATTAATTATGTGTATGGATGACTTAGCTTCCTTTCTGTGTGTTTAGAGGCTTATAGGCAGAGTCCATCACCTTTGTACTTTCAGGGAGTAGTGTAGTAGACATGCAATAACTAGGTATTGAATTGCATCGGTGATTCTGATAATGTTAAAACATTCATATGTTAAGGATGAATTATTAAGGTAGCAATTCCAGTATGTGTCAAATCACCACGTAAAATAAGCATAGCAGGTAATTTAATTTCTTACTGCACTTTAAGATGACACTAAAGGCATTTGTTACCATTTTTATAAAGTCAGATTCAGGTGGGATCTGTTAAGTCACTCCTTTTGATTATAAACTCACTAAGGACAGGTTAATGTTTGTATTCATTTAGTTCTTTCATATTTACTCAGTAGTTGTATGTTCATGACACAGTGCTCTTGTGAAGGCATGAGGAATGGTGGGAAAAAGGAAAATCCTTACTTTTCAGGAGCTTCCCACTTAGTGTATTCTTCAAATGGCTTAAACATCACTATAGAATTTTTTTTTTTTAACTGAGGATAGAAACACAAGGACGTAGTGGAGCCAGAAAGTTAGATAAAAATGCAGGGCCTTCTTGGAGAGGGGACTGGAAACCAAGAGATGACTCTTACCCTTAGATTAAACTGAAGGATATTTGCCTAGAATACTGTGCACACTTTTGGTTTATGATAAAATTGCCAATGCTTGCATGGTGCTTCACTGTTTACAAAGTGATTTTGATATCTATTATTTCACTGTGGTAGCATATTAATGCTAACGTACGTATGAAGAAATGGGCTCAGTGAAATTAATGAACTTGTCCAATCACTCAGAAAGTGATCAAGCAGTTTATTAGTCTAGTCGGGAATCCAATGCCATGTCCAAAGAGCTTCTAACCCATTCAAGAGTGAGGGTGTCAGGAAAGCTTCCCAGAAGATGTAAGACTGAGTCCTAAAGGATGGATTTCATCAGAGCAAGCAGGGACATAGAGGAAAAGGCATTCCAGCCAGAAGGAGTAACACATATGCAGGGGCATGAAACGGCATGGCATTTTGAGGAAATGAGGCCTGCACCCACCGGCACTGAGTCACACAGGGTGGGTTTGGGCTTTGACCACCACAGAGATGGAGGTACATGAAAGCTGGTGATTGGTCAGGAACAGGATGGAGATTGTGAAAGGAGTGCCTGCACATGAATGGTACATTTGAGAGAACAGCTGGAAAAGAAACAGGGTGAATGTGCAGTGCTAAGGAGTTTGGATTTTATCCTGTAACAGGGAACCAAACAATTGAAAGTTCTCTGTTACTTAGGTGTGGTTAGTGACAATGCAAAGGTTGAATTGGAGGGTTAGAAACGGAGTATCATTAGAATGCGAGTGTCATAAATTAAGTGAAAAATGGTAAGGGCCTACAAAAGTTAACATGAAGGTAATGGGAACATCTTCTTAAATCTTTCCTAAAGGAGATAGCCATTAGGCCATTTATAGTTTGTAAATTAATTTTTATTACCTAGCATAAGAGTAATGCCTATTTTCATCTCTATTTTAGCATTTTCTAAATAGTTATTAACAAGATACAATCCTTTGGGTGTCCAAGGTCCTCGTTTGAACTACAGTGAAAGGATAGTGATGGTAAATGGTCATTTACCATTTCTCACAAAATCTCATGTGACTTTATTCTAATTGGTTCTTTAAGTCTCCGTGTATTATATAAGTTTTCACACCTTGGGAGGTTTCTAATATGGTTTCTTCAGCGCTTTTCCAAATGGTAAAAACTCATACAAGACTGTGTAGCTTTTGACTTTCCCCCCATTTTAACATTAACTTTTAAACCTTTTTGGAAACTTTCTAAATGGTGGTAATGAAAGGTTTAAAAAAAAAAAAA